CCGGCTCTGTGTCCGGGTCTTGTCCTCCACTTGTCCTTGTCTTGGCCGCGCCCCTGAACTCTGTGGCCGGGCTCTGTGTCCGGGTCTTGTCCTCCTCTTGTGCTTGTCATCCTCTTGTCCTTCTCTTGGCCGCGCCGCTGATTTACTGTTCCCCAAACAGTTTACTGTTGGGCTTCTATCTTAGAAGTTATATCAGCATAGACCCCAAACAGCTTCAAAACGATTCGTTATTAATAAAACATGATTTCTTGGTACACCCTACCTTCCTCCCAAGAGCAAACTGCTTCATCAATGATTTTTGTCGGCATCGAGATCTCTATTTGTTCGGGCGACCGGGCCACAGAGCCCAGCCACAGAGTTCAGTGGTGTGGTCAGGACAAGGACAAGAGGAGGACAAGGCCCGGACACAGAGCCGGGCCAGAGACAGGGGCGCGGCCAGGACAAGGACAAGAGGAGGACAAGGCCCGGACACGGAGCCGGGCCACAGACAGGGGCGCGGCCAAAACAAGGACAAGAGGAGGACAAGGCCCAAACACAGAGCCGGGCCACAGAGCCCGGCCACAGAGTTCAGGGGCGCGGCCAGCGAGTGTGGCCAGCAATTTTTTTCTAAGATAGAACCCCAACAGTAAACTGCTTTGGGGAAAAGAGCTGGCCACACTGACTGGGCGTGCCCCTGAACTCTTTGGCCGGGCTTTGTGGCCGCGCTCTGTGGCCTTGTCACTTGTCCTCTGCTGGACACACTGACTGGCCACGGCCCTGACCTCTGTGCAACATCCTGGCATATCAAAAAAGCTAGTTACTATTGTCTCATGGTTCACTACTGGGATGTTAACATGAATATTGTCGGGTGTGTACATATACGTACATGATTGATGATTAACTGCCAAAAGTACATCCAAGAAAATCAAATTGAGGGTTCGGGTATTGTTTCCAAGAATCGGTTTCCAACAGCAACGACCGTGGTAGATGTGCCCTCTGCACGAAAGAAACAAGAACCGCTCACAAATCATAGACTGTTCATTGTTGTTTCTTCAAAGTAGCTTGGGCATTGTCAGTGCAAAACTGCAGAACGGTGGGGCAATGACATCTTTGTGCATACTCTAAAGCTCCCTTGATAAAATCCTGCAAGAAGTAGATTCCAATAAACTTGAGAGGAGGGAGACACGAAAGGTAGGACAGCGGGAAGAGAAGAGAACGCGAGAGGCAGGAACAAAAACGGAATCTTCGACATGGTGATTTATCCCCTCGGAGGCGACCTTTCGTAAATATATGTTCATATGCACTCTAAATGTTCAAACATATGCTCTCGAAATGTTCAAAAAGATTCTTAGGAAAACAAACTTGCCCCATGGCTCAGATCATCGGTGAGCATTGAATCGGAACATCATAGGATTTGAACTATCCTGAAACCATAAGAGGCTCACGAAAACGCTCCCCAGGAGAGAATTGACGTGCTTCACAAAACAAACTCTAGGTATGTATCCCCTCGGAG